CCTCAGAACACTCCTCTGTCGCTGCTCGGGTCCAGGCCCGCTCCGGTCCGGTCCGGATCCAACCAGAAACCCTCTCGTTCCGGTGCATTAAGCTCATCTCTGCAGAACTGTGGAGTCCTGTGGGTTTGTGAAGTGGACTGCATCTCCCAGAATGCATTGTACCAGCAGCCAATCACAGCGCTGCGTCCTGATCATGTGACTCGTGAATGGACCCTGTTTTCTTCTTCACTGTTTTTATTTTGTGTTTTTGGCTTTTTCAAAATGAACCAAACAAGTGATTTCTGTAAAAACGTGTTTCCGACGAAAGGCCCAGGCTCCGCCCACCACAACAACACCTGCTCTAGTCCTGGTTTAGTCCTGGTTTAGTCCTGGTTTAGTCCTAGATTTTGTCTGACCAGTATTTTCAAAGGGCGGGGTTAGGTGGTGATATGGGTGGGCCCTGGTGTGATGTGGGCGGGGCCTGTGGTGAATGTCCGGTTGTGATTGGTCAGAGCTTTGAGCCTCGGGATCTGTGCGACGGATTCCTATTGGTCCATTTGTGAGCGTGTCATGGTGAAGGGCGTCTCTCATTGGACGCTCACACGTTTGGGGGAGGGGTTTGAGGGTGGGAGGGGCCTGCATGTGAAAGGGGAGGGGTTTGTATGGTCATGTGACGAGGCCCTGAGCCAATCATGTGTCAGAAGCATTCCTGTCGACGTCAGACTGAAAATAAAGAAAATAAATGTTTTGGATTAAAAAAAAGACTCAAGAGTGTGTGTGTGTGTATGTATGTGTATGTGTATATATATGTGTGTGTGTGTATGTGTGTGTGTGTTCTGCTGTGGTTTCCTGGAGTTGTTTTGTTTCATGTTTCACACAAACCTGCACATTTAGACTGAAAACACTCTGTTCCACCTTGTGATGTCATCGTGTGGTGATACAGGAAGTGCTCCACTGTGTTTTTAAACTCCACACACCTTCACTAGAATCACGTGGATCATGTGATGTCTTCAGTTTTTTTTTTAAACGTAAAAACACTCGAGGAAAACGTCCGAAGACAAAAGAATTTTATTTAGACTTGGACGAGTCTCCATAAACACAAAAACACACAAAACGCACAACTGAACACAACAAACTCTAACCCCGCCCCCTTTCACACGTCTCACTCAGACACCATCATTCTGCGCTCCGATTGGCCAAAGCTCTGCTCTCTGCGCTCTGATTGGCAGTCGAGTCTCTGAGTGACGCGGTGGTGGCTCCAGGGCACGACCCAGATCTCCACGTGACACCGGAACATCTGAAACCACAAGACCAGGACCAGGATCAGGACCAGGACCAGGAGAGAGGTGGAGGTGGGAGGAGGTACAGACCTGGTGCAGAGGACCTGGGGGCTGCAGGTCACAGTCCTGGAGATTCTTCTGAGGTTTGTCTCGTTTTCGACACACGGTTCTGCACAGATCCAGGTCCAAGAGGAACCGGACGCCCTTCACCACCTGAAGAACGACGAGAACAACGAGAACATCATCAGGGTCAGAAGAACAAACCCCCCCACACCTGTCTCTCACCTGTCTCTCACCTGTCTGTAACTTGTCTCACCTGCCACTCACCTGCCTCTCACCTGACATTCACCTGTCTCTCACCTGCCACTCACCTGTCTGTAACTTGTCTCACCTGCCACTCACCTGCTCTCACCTGTCTCACCTGCCTCTCACCTGTCTCTCACCTGTCTCTCACCTGTCTCTCACCTGCCTCTCACCTGTCTCTCACCTGCCTCTCACCTGTCTCACCTGTCCTCTCACCTGCCTCTCACCTGTCTCTCACCTGTCTCTCACCTGTCTCACCTGCCTCTCACTGCCTCTCACCTGTCTCTCACCTGCCTCTCACCTGTCTCTCACCTGCCTCTCACCTGTCTCTCACCTGTCTCTCACCTGCCTCTCACGTGCCTCTCACCTGTCTCTCACCTGTCTCTCACCTGCCTCTCACCTGTCTCACCTGCCTCTCACCTGCCTCTCACCTGTCTCTCACCTGCCTCTCACCTGCCTCTCACCTGTCTCTCACCTGCCTCTCACCTGTCTCTCACCTGTCTCTCACCTGTCTCTCACCTGCCTCTCACACCTGCCTCTCACCTGTCTCTCACCTGTCTCTCACCTGCCTCTCACGTGCCTCTCACCTGTCTCTCACCTGCCTCTCACCTGCCTCTCACTGCCCTTCCTGCCTGTCTCTCACCTGTCTCTCACCTGTCTCTCACCTGTCTCTGGGCCTTGATGATGCGTTGGGGTCTGAACAGGAAGCTGTCGTTTGATTGGTTGTTGTAGGTCTGCGCAGCCGCGAGCGCCGCCTGCAGGACGGAGCGGTCGTCTGCGCTGACGTCACAGGGCGCCCCGGGAACACAGCGCCCCCCGCGGGACACAGGGACCCCTACAGCTGCACCGCACCAGAAAGGAACATTAGGACTTATGTCACAGATAATACTCCCTACAACTGTACAACAACTCACCCTTATGTATCAGATAATACTCCCTACAACTGTACAACTCACTTATGTATCAGATAATACTCCCTACAACTGTACAACTCACCTTATGTATCAGATAATACCCTACAACTGTACAACAACTCACCCTTATGTATCAGATAATACTCCTACAACTGTACAACAACTCACCCTTATGTAACAGATAATACTCCCTACAACTGTACAACAACTCACCCTTATGTATCAGATAATACTCCCTACAACTGTACAACAACTCACCCTTATGTCACAGATAATACTCCCTACAACAACTCACCCTTATGTCACAGATAATACTCCCTACAACTGTACAACAACTCACCCTTATGTCACAGATAATACTCCCTACAACTGTCAACTCACCTTATGTACAGATAATACTACAACCTACTACACTGTACAACAACTATGTGATAAACTACAACACTCCTTATGTCACAGATAATACTCCCAACTGTACAACTACTTATACAGATAATACTCCCAACTGTACACTCACTTATCACTCCCTTATCAGTCACAGTACAATAAATACTCTCCTACAACTGTACAACAACTCACCCTTATGTACAGATAATACTCCCTACAACTGTAACAACTCACCTTATGTCACAGATAATACTCCCTACAACTGTACAACTCACCTTATGTCACAGATAATACTCCCTACAACTGTACAACAACTCACCTTATGTAACAGATAATACTCCCTACAACTGTACAACAACTCACCCTTATGTCACAGATAATACTCCCTACAACTGTACAACTCACCTTATGTACAGATAATACTCCTACAACTGTACTCAACTTATGTACACTCCCTTAACTCACCCTTATGTCACAGATAATACTTCTTGTTTATAATTGTGATTTTTATTTTTTCTTATTTTTCTGTTTTATATTTGTAATATTTGTATAATTCTGTTTTATTTCACACGTGTTTCTTTTTGCTTTTTATTTTGAATTTATTATCAACATTTATATTTTTCTCTTTGTTTTTATTTTGTGACGTGAAACTGAACAAAACATTTCCCCCACGGATCAATAAAGTTTAACTAAAACTAAACCAGGACTAAACCAGGACTAAACCAGGTCTAAACCAGGTCTAAACCAGGTCTAAACCAGGTCTAAACCAGGACTAAACCAGGACTAAAACCAGGACTAAACCAGGTCTAAACCAGGTCTAAACCAGGACTAAACCAGGACTAAAACCGCCAGGACTAAACCAGGACTAAAACAGGTCTAAAACCAGGACTAAACCAGGTCTAAACCAGGTCTAAACCAGGACTAAACCAGGACTAAACCAGGTCTAAACCAGGACTAAACCAGGAGGACTAAACCAGGACTAAACCAGGACTAAACCAGGACTAAAACCAGGACTAAAACCAGGACTAAACCAGGTCTAAACCAGGTCTAAAACCAGGACTAAACCAGGTCTAAACCAGGTCTAAACCAGGAACTAAACCAGGACTAAACCAGGTCTAAACCAGGTCTAAACCAGGTCTAAACCAGGACTAAACCAGGTCTAAACCAGGACTAAACCAGGACTAAACCAGGTCTACTAAACCAGGACTAAACCAGGTCTAAACCAGGACTAAACCAGGACTAAACCAGGACTAAAACCGCCAGGACTAAACCAGGACTAAAACCAGGACTAAACCAGGTCTAAAACCAGGACTAAACCAGGACTAAACCAGGTCTAAACCAAGTCTAAACCAGGACTAAACCAGGTCTAAACCAGGTCTAAACCAGGACTAAACCAGGACTAAACCAGGTCTAAACCAGGTCTAAACCAGGACTAAACCAGGTCTAAACCAGGACTAAAACCAGGACTAAACCAGGACTAAACCAGGTCTAAACCAGGTCTAAACCAGGTCTAAACCAGGACTAAACCAGGTCTAAACCAGGACTAAACCAGGACTAAACCAGGACTAAAACCAGGACTAAACCAGGACTAAAACCGCCAGGACTAAACCAGGACTAAACCAGGACTAAACCAGGTCTAAACCAGGATTAAACCAGGACTAAAACCAGGTCTAAACCAGGACTAAACCAGGTCTAAATCAGGTCTAAACCAGGACTAGACCAGGTCTAAACCAGGACTAAACCAGGATTAAACCAGGTCTAAACCAGGACTAGACCAGGTCTAAACCAGGTCTAAACCAGGACTAAACCAGGACTAGACCAGGACTAAACCAGGTCTAAACCAGGTCTAAACCAGGTTTAAAACCAGGACTAAACCAGGTCTAAAACCAGGACTAAACCAGGACTAAATCAGGTCTAAATCAGGTCTAAACCAGGACTAGACCAGGACTAAACCAGGACTAGACCAGGACTAGACCAGGACTAAACCAGGTCTAAACCAGGACTAAACCAGGACTAGACCAGGACTACACCAGGTCTAAACCAGGTCTAAACTAGGACCAAACCAGGACTAGACCAGGACTAAACCAGGTCTAAAACCAGGACTAAACCAGGTCTAAAACCAGGACTAAACCAGGTCTAAAACCAGGACTAAACTAGGTCTAAAACCAGGACTAAACCAGGACTAAATCAGGACTAAACCAGGTCTAAATCGGGTCTAAATCGGGTCTAGACCGGGTCTAAACCGGGTCTAAAACCAGGACTAAACCAGGACTAAATCAGGTCTAAATCAGGTCTAAACCGGGTCTAAACCGGGTCTTTTGTGTCTTACCCAGAATCGCGGTGATGATGAGAAAAGTCGCCATCTCTTCACTTCCTGTTCACAGCTTCAACAGGAAGTGCTCAGACACTTCCTCAACACACACGGACACTTTATTAGGTACAGCTCTACTCCTCCTCTACTCTTTCTCTCACTCCTCTACTCCTCCTCCTCCCCTACTCTCCTCCTCCATCACTGCCTCTCTCTTCCTCCTCCTCTTCTCCTCCTCCCCTCTTCCTCTACTCGTCCTCTCACTCCTCCCCTACTCTCTTCCTCTACTCCCCTTCCTCCTCTCATCTACTTCCCCCTCTCCTCCTCCATCACTGCCTCTCTCTTCCTCCTTCTCCTCTTCCTCTCTTCTTCTTCCCTCTTCTCTTCTCCTGCTCTGCTTCTCCTCCCTCTCTCTCCTCTCTCCTCCTCTCTCTCTCTCTCTCTCTCTCTCTCTCCCTCTTCTCTCTCTTCCTCTTCTCTCTCTCTCTCTCTCTCCTCCTCCTTTCTTCCTCCCTCTCTCCCTCTTCTCTCTCTCCCTCTTCTCTCTCCTCCTCCTCTCTCTCTCTCTTCTTTCTCTCTCCTCTACCTCTCTCTTCCTCTCTCCTCTTCTCTTCCTCCTCTCTCTCTCCTTCTCTCTCTTCCTCTTCTCTCTCTCTCCCTCTTCTCTCTCTTCCTCCTCTCTCTCGCTCTCTTCCTCCTCCTTTCTTCCTCTTCTCTCTCTTCCTCTTCTCTCTCCCTCTTCTTTTCTCTCTCCATCTCTCTCCTCTTCTCTCTTCTCCTCTCTCTCTCTTCCCCCCCTCTCTCTCTCCTCTTCCTCTCTCTCTCCCTCTTCCTCCTCCTCTCTCCTCTTCTCTCTCTCTCCTTCTCTCTCCCTCCTCTCTCTTCCTCTTCTCTCTCCTCTCTCTCTCTCTCTCTCTCTCTCTCTCTCTCTCTCTCTCTCTCTTCCTCTTCTCTCTCTCTCTCTCTCTCTCTCTCTCTCCTCTTCTTCCTCCTCTCTCTCTCTCCTCTCTCTCTCTCTCTTCTTCCTCCTCTCTTCCTCTTCCTCCTCTCTCTCTCTCTCTCCATCTCTCTCTCTCTCCTCCTCTCTCTTCATCTCTCTCTTCCTCTTCTCTCTCTCTCTCTCTCTCTCTTCTCTCTCTCTCTCTCTCTCTTCCTCTCTCTCTCTCCTCTCTCTCTCTCTCTCTCTCTCTCTCTCTCTCTCTCTCTCTCTCTCTCTCTCTCTCTCTCATCTCTCTCTCTCTTCATCTCTCTCTCTCTCTCTCTCTCTCTCTCTCCTCCTCTTCAGTGAACGTTCAGACATTTTGAGACTCGTCTCGTCTTTATTTCTTTTTATTGTTTTTTCTTGTGATTCTTTTGGTCCAGTTGAAGCTGGAATGACACAAAATGTCCGCCGTCTCTCAGACAGTCCTGCGCTCTGATTGGTCGACTACATTCAGAGTGTCCGTGCTCACATGTGATTGGCTGCTGCAGTGGAGGGGCGGGGTTAGAGGCGGGGCATGGAGCAGTGTTAGTAAAACTGTCTCTGATTGGCCGTGAAGGATCAGAGGGCCTCCTGATTGGTCGCGGGGAATCAGACAGCCTCCTGATTGGCTGTGGTGAGTCAGAGAGCCTCCTGATTGACTGTAGTGAGTCAGAGAGCCTCCTGATTGGCCATAGTGTGTCAGAGGGCCTCCTGATTTGCTGTGGTGAGTCAGAGGGCCTCCTGATTGGCCATAGTGTGTCAGAGGGCCTCCTGATTGGCCGTGCTGTGTCAGAGGGCCTCCTGATTGGCCGTGCTGTGTCAGAGGGCCTCCTGATTAGCCGTGGTATGTCAGAGGGCCTCCCAATTGGCCGTAGTGTGTCAGAGGGCCTCCCGATTGGCCGTTGAGGATCAGAGAGCTTCCTGATTGGCCGCGGGGGATCAGAGAGCCTCCTGATTGGCCATGGTGTGTCAGAGGGCCTCCTGATTGGCCGTAGTGTGTCAGAGGGCCTCCTGATTGGCCGCGGGGGATCAGAGAGCCTCCTGATTGGCTGTGAGGTACTCTTCGGCTCTCTTGTGCGCCTCCAGAGCTTTGATGGTGTAAACGTCCTGCGGCAGCTCCGACTTCCTCCTCATCAGCGCCTTGTCCTTCTTCAGATCCTTCACGCCCTGAAACGGACCAATCAGAGCAGAGCAGGGTTTAAACAGACCAATTAGAGCAGAGCAGGACTAAACCAGGACTAAACCAGGACTAGACGAGTACCTGCGTGGCTTCGGTCTCCACGGTCTTCTTCAGCAGTTGGATGTCTTCTTCTGTGGTGGGCGTGTCCGTCTCCATGGAGTAAACTGCGCTGAGGCCGTCCACCAGCG